AACATTTCTACCGCTACAAGGTGAACCTTTTGATGTTAATTCTTTCAATAAAGAAAAGTACTTCATTACCATTATTGTTGATTTTCGCATTACCGTTATATATATTTACTACATGAGAAATCTAAAGCGGTTGATGCCTTAGATATTTTTATTAATGAAGTTCAAAGGCAATTAGACAAAAGGTGAAAGTTATAAGATCAGGTAGAGGTGGTGAGTATTGTGGAAGATATGATGAATTTGAAAAATACCCTAGTCCATTTACCAATTTATCTCTCAAGCGTCTTCAAGTGAGGATGATGATGTTAAGATGAATTAAGTGTTTCTTAGATGTTTTCGTTCTTTTTATTCATTTTCTTCCTCGTACATTTAATTAAGAAAATTTCCTTCTGTATTTTTAATTCCCTAATAAAATGAGTGTGATGTTTTCCCATTTCTCTAAATGTCTAAATTATCCTTGTCTGCATATTTACTTGCATTTTAATTTTGAAAAGGGGGGAAAAGTATACTCTTAGCGATAGTAGGGTATACTTTCTATTCAACTCGGAGTAAGTTTAATCACTCCAAATATATATGTATTATTTTTACCACATCTCATGAGAGATGTGTTGTCATCATCAAAAAGGGGGAAAATGTGGAACCTTATTTTGAAGGTGATATGTTTTTAACATGGACGTCAACTTTTGATGGTAACAAATAATGTCTTATGATAAGTTAAGCATGAACGTTTAAGCGGATAAAGATGCAAATTTAATCATTAGAGTTTTATGTACTTGACTATCCGATGATGGAAATCAAATGGAATGTAATATAAATGCTTCATCTTAAGCTACTCAAGCAAGTCCCTACAAAAGATAAATCATTTGGCAAGTCTTGAAGTACTGAAGAACCTTCTAATTTAGTAATGAGTGACCAAACTACATAAGGTCTTTATCATAAAAGCGCATGCCTAAAGCACACATACTAAAACTATTTTTAAAATGTTTTTACCAAAAGGAAATATCTTCTAAAATGACTTGAAGTTCTGCCAGATGAATTAGGAGCAATCAAAATAGCCATAGGAGAAATTTTGACTTTTCTAATTGGTTGGAACATTTGTCCAATCGATTATGTCAGCTCAAAATTAAGACCCAAGCGAGTAGGACAATGTCTTAATGATGTGAAACGAATAGATATCATTTCCTTTCTCTTATAAACTTATAATTGATTATATTTCAAATGTATAATCAGTTTTGAATATGCTCAAATCGATTAGATAGTCATAAAAAGCATTTATTGGAAATTCCTCTTTGAGCCAACCTCTAGTCTATACATAAATGTCTCTTTTCTCATTTCATTTCATCAAGAAACTTGTTTTTGACACATCTCTCTCTCTCTAAAGTTTTATTTAACTTTCTCTCACTAATATTTTAGCTTAAGTGCTTTTGTGAGAAAAATCCTTTTGTGAGTGAGGATATAATTGTCATTCTAGAAAGGGTAGAATTATAAATTTACTAAGGAAATATTTTGTATACACGTTAGTTGAATATTATCCATTTAGGGATTTGTTAGGGTTAGGAGTTAAACTTGTTAAAAATTTTGGTTTAAGATTGTGTGATTTAGTTCTGATTTAGGTTCGAGATTAACCCGTTATAAAATCACATAGGTTCTTGGTTAGCCCGTTATTAAAACTAAGAGTAGGTTAAAGCTCAGATCGGTATTAAAGCTTCATAGGTTCGAGATCAGTCTGGAGTTAAAATCTCACAGGTTATTGGTTATTTCATGTAAAACTAAGGTTTAAGGTTCGTGAGCTTAAACCGTGTAAAAACTTGCAAGGTTTCGGAACTTGAAGACTAACCGCTCAAAGATCCTTGTTTGTGGAAAAAGGATTAACTGCTTAAATCCACCATTGGGAAGAAAGTCTGGTCACTTCATTCATAAGTTTGTCTGAAAGAAAAGACGAAAACGCTCAAACCTATTGTCTTGTATTATTTGGTTGGAGGTCAACCATCATTACCTTATATAAGGGGGGGGGGGGGGGGGGGGGGTTCGTGAGTCTTTCTTACCAAAAGCTCTCAACGTTTATTGGAAACTCTCTAGATAAATTTTTGGGGAGAGGAGTAGGTCCTTTTATTTTGATCGTACCTCTATAATTCTTGGTGCATTAGTTTTAGCTTCAAAATGTGGATATACACTCAAGTCCAACTATTACATGATTATAGCAACTGACTTATGATTCATATTCTTTCATTCGACAACAGACTTATCACTTGGTTTACCTTTTCCCCCCTCAATGGGATCATACAAATGTTTGATGTATAACATATATTTCATGAAAGTCTTCTAGAGTATATAATTAGTATAGTTGAGCATAATCATATTGGGCTCTTTATTTTTTTACATTTAAAATGCACAAAATAAGCCAACCAGAACTTTGACACCACTTTGTTAGAAAAATCAAATAGTCAGAATAACTTTTAAGCGAAATACTTTCTCAAACTTGTGAGATTTAAACTGATAACCATCAAAACCAATTCCAGAGGACAATAATAATAACAAAAAAAATTAAAATAGCAAGAATACCAAATTTTAATGTGAAAAACTTTCCTTAAAGAGTGAGAATAAAAACCATGAGACCTAGTCCAATAAAATATTCAACTATATCAATAATGGATATACAAAAAACCATCCTAGTAACACGAGAGAATAAAAACCTTCACTGATAAATAATAAATGTGAGAAATATGACTCAAACAACTCCAACATAAAATGTGGGTATACCAAAATAACTCTAAAGAAACTAAAACTACTCAATAGAAATATAAATAAAATTATGGTCATGCTAACATGTGTCCTAAGGACACATGTTAAGGATGCTCTAATTAAATTTTTTTAAATATAATTGAATGTAATAAAATTATATTTAAAGTTTCAAAATATTAAAAACATGCGTTTCAAAAGAATGTTTTTACAAATAGGTTACTAACTTGTGCCATTGGAACACATGTTAGTTTTTTCTATAAAATTAACTAAGATAAGAACAAAATACTTATTTAGTAGTTCACTACACTCGCTTATCACTTATGTGTTTTTCTCTTCTCTAATGAAATTCTTTGAAACCATTGTTAAGTTACTTATTTATTGTATTAATTTAAGAATTAAAAAAATCTCATTTAAAAACATATCAATTGGGCTTGGCCCAAATAAAATAATAATTCACATAAAAACTCTTTTTTATCTTTTATTTTTGTTTTTTTATAAATAGTGGAATTCACTTTAAGAGTGAACCCACCATAACAGTTATGCACAAATATCTTATCATTCTCATGCAAACATTAAATTAAGGGACAAAGAGGTATACACATTCTGTTTAAGTATGTTCTGCAAAAATTTATACAAAATAGAGTGACACAGACTTTGTTAAAAGTGTGGGCTTAAAATTTTATCTCACTTTATAAATAAATGAGTATGAAACATGACGGACCTATGAGTTTTGTATCTTTTAAATCTAAAAATTATAAATTTTTATATTAATATCTGCGTCCACAAAAATCTAAAAAAAAAAAAAAATTTATTAATATCTACCGTCCACAAAAATCTAAAAAAAAAACATAAAAAGAAATAGAACAAACATTAAAAGATACGAAACTAAAATTTTAATATGCTCTACAAAAAAATACAAACTAACATACCAAATCTGTTTTATCACACCTACATTAAACAATTCAAATCCGATCCATTGATTTTACTAGTGGGTTTATAAATTGATTTTACTATTGGGTTTATAAATACAAGGACATGCTAAATGGTTTGGTGACCCAAGTCTATAAAAAAAACATACTAAAAAATCGATTTAGAATGTAGAGTATTTTAGGATTTTTTTAAAAAAATAAGGCAAAATACTCTTTTTAGTCCTTTAAGTTTATCCCAATGTCCATTTTGGTCCTTTATCTAAAAAAAATGTCAAACTGGTCCTATAATTCTTTCAAAAGGATCATAGGAGTCTTTTCCGTCCATTTTGGTCCTTTTTGGTTCATTGGAGAAGCTGCAAAATGAACTTGATGGAGCAAAGATGGAGATACATCATCTGAAGGAAAGGGAGGATGGGCTGAAACATAAGATAATGGAGTTACAAATTGAAATAAAGAAGGATGGGCTGAACCAAAAAGGACCAAAATGGACGGAAAGGACTCTTATGGTCCTTTTGAAAGAATTATAGGACCAGTTTGACACTTTTTTTTAGATAAAGGACCAAAATGGACCTTGGAGTAAACTTAAAGGACTAAAAAGGGTATTTTGCCAAAAAAATAAAATAGATTATTTATTTTTTAAATTGCTGGAGAGTTCAATAAATATCAAAACTTTGAAAAAGATCACTTAACACAAAAAACGAGTTTTGAATTTAATAATGTAAGTTTATTTTGTTGCAGAGTTCAATAAATATCAAACTTTGAAAAAGATCATTTAACACACAAAACGAGTTTTGAATTTAATGATGTAAGTTTATTTCGTTATTAGTTCGTTTCAAAATAAAAATCATTTAAAATTATTAATTACTATTAAATGATATACATTATTTTAATTTAAAAAGAGTATGGATAAAAAATAACATTGATAAAAGTTAATCAATAATATATTTAAAAAAAAGAAAGAAACAATTATTTTAAAACATTTTTTTAAACTTTAAACGACGGAGAGAGTAATTTTTAAATAAAAGTTAGTTTGGGATGCAGATTTTTTGTATACGTGTAGGATCTTGAGTGGACCCACAAACGTGGTCCCCGGTATTTACATTAGCCACGACCTCTGCCTGGAGACGTGACCCCTTCTCAATCTCCTCCGCAATCTCTCTCTCTCTCTTAACTTCAATACACCCTCCGGCCCCATTTCCCTTATTAGCGGGAACACTATTACTCCTATAATACTCCTACAAACAACCTCAAATTTTTTATCATTAATGTACACTCCCCATAGTACACACAGTTTTAACATCTCTCTCCTCATTTTCTCTCTCTGAAACAAAGATGAAGAATAATTCAAATACCAAACTTATCCTCCTCCACCCTTCTCTCCAAAAACAACCCCCAACACCATCCTTTCTCTCTCACCGCCTCTGTCTCTCCTTCTTCCTCATCACTTTCTTCACCACACTCTTCATCCTCTCTCTCATTACAACCATCTCCACATCCGCCGCCAACTCCGCCGCATCCTCCGCCTCCTCCCCTCTCCCACTCTCCGTAACCAAAGCCCTCCTCCACTACGCTTCCCTCTCGAACTCCACCAAATCCATGTCCTTCAACGAGATCAACTCCATAGCAACGACTCTTCATCTCACACCAAACCCAAACTTCCTCATCTTCGGTCTTACCCACGAGTCACTCCTCTGGTCTGCACTAAACCACAATGGTCGCACTGTTTTCGTCGATGAAAACGAATACATGATCTCGAAATTCGAACAGTCCAACCCCGGAATCGAAGCTTATGATGTTCAGTTCACAACTAAAGTTAGCGACTATCCCAAGCTTCTTTCTCAGGCGAGAGATGACTCCAAACATGACTGCAAACCGGTGCAGAATCTCTTGTTCTCGGAATGCAAACTCGGAATCAACGACTTACCGAATCATATATACCAAATCTCTTGGGATGTGATTCTTGTGGATGGGCCAAGAGGGTACTTTGCGGCGGCTCCGGGGAGAATGTCGGCGATTTTCACGGCGGGGGTGTTGGCTCGGAGTAATAAGAAAGTGGGGAAAACTCATGTTTTCGTCCATGATTTTGAGAGAGAGGTTGAGAAGATTTTCAGCTATGAGTTTCTTTGTGAAGAGAATTTGGTTAAGAATGTGGATCAGTTGGGGCACTTTGTGGTGAAGAGTGAAAGCGACAACGGTGGAAGTTCTGAGTTTTGCACAAATTACAGTTCTCCATTGTCTGTGTCGGCGTCAAAGGATGTTGACTGAGGAATTAATTTAGTTATATTCCAACAATATGTAAAATTGTCTATTTTTTAGCTTTTTCTTTTCTTTTTTATATATTTTTTTAATAGAAAAGAAATGTCGTTTAATTTTGCTTTACGATGTTGGAATGCTTTTTCACCTGAAAAAAAGGGTGATAATGGAGCTTTACATATTTGTTTTATATTATCTCGTTCAAATTGCTCAACCTTTTGTTTGTTCATAAAATATAAAATAATAATTTAAGGTTAGATTCATTTTCTTTTGAAATTGTTCTAGTTTCTATACAAACACATAGATATACTTTTATACCATAGAGATAAACTTGCTGATCATGCACACACTAGTAGGGACAGACACATCCCAATAAACTATAAGTTTTAAAGTATGCAAATTTTATTGTGTGTAAAATATTATTTAGTGTTGTTCGTTTCATGCTTATGAAGGAAATAAGATAAAAAATTGAATATGGGTATGACATGATACTCATGATAAACTTATATTATTATATTATCATGTGTTTAGTGTACAATCTAATAAGAATAATAGCATGTTTGGTTTCAATTCTAGAAGGGTAAAAGCATTTCTAAAGGTTTAAAATTGATTCTACAATTATTTTAATATTTTTGGTTATGGTGTACGTGTGCGATTTATTAGTCAAAGTTTGACTTTTAAGAATGTACTCTTTTTAAAGTTTTATTATATTAAAATAAAATTGATTTTACTTTAATTTAGAATTTGTAATTTTTGAATTTAAAATTAATTTTTATATTAGAATTTATTATTTAATTCACTTCTATATAAATTTATTCAAACATAAATCATTTTATCTTCGACTCATTTTTAACTAAAATCAATTCTACAAAATCAATTCAGTTAGAATTAATTCTTCTCACTGAATCAAATATACACTAAGAAAAGTAATATAATTATTTATATATTTTATCTATGTATTTAATTAATATAATATATTATATTTAAATTAGAAAATTACCTACGTAATTAATTTTAATATTTTAAATTTAAAAATAAATCAAATATACTATAATATATGAAATTAGTTAAATAAATTTAAACATTTTTTGGAAAAATCAATTGACACTAATAAATAATAAACTTTATTTTTTAAATATAAACATTATGAGTAAAAGAAATAATTATCATTACAATAATATCATTATTTATATAAAAATGAAGAAATATTCATTAATATTTTTGAAAATTTTAATAATAATTGTAATTTTATATAATTTATTTTCAATAAATGGTTTTGTTTTCAATTATTTTGAATATATTATTTTATCAATTTAATATTAAATTTATTGTACTGTTTTATTTAAGCCATATAAAATTTCAAAATTTTCATTTTTAAATTATATTAATTAAGAAATAAATGATTAATTTAATTTTTTTTATCCCAATTTTTAGTTGGAGCAACATTCGGCTTAGTTGATTGGTAAAGGGGGCACATTAATTTTTGGTTGGACAATTGGTGTGGCCAAACTCTGGTTAATCTTATGCAAATTCCTTCGAATATGTATGGAAATTTGAAGGCCAAGTTGCAAGACATCATTGAGGGTAACATTAATTCTGCTTCAAAGCCGTGTGCTCATGTGCCCTACTCTGCCTTAGCTTACAGCTGAAGTGTTCATCAATTTAATGAAGGAAGATATGAAGGTTTGGAAGCCAGCTAGTAATGGGAAATTTTCTGTCAAAACTTCTTATACTCGTCTCTCATACTCTCATCAAGCCACTACATGGGATAAGACTATTTGGAATTTATCAATCCCACCATCAAGGTCAATCTTGTTTTGGAAATTAATTTATGGCAAACTGTCAACAAATCATAACTTATGTTTGAGGGGGCCTGTAACTGCCCTCTTGTTGCAACTTGTGTTTAAGTAATGAAAACATTCTACTCTTCACGGGCGTTTCTCGTGAACAATCTTTAACTTCTTACTTAAAGGTTATTTGCATGACCGATTACAAAAGTTATAGACTTAGTGTTAAGTTTGATATGGTATTTTGGTATTTGAAATTGATCTTACCGGATCAGACTTGGACCGTCACGACTGGCTCATAGCTGAAGTTGAACGAGATGGGGGGGGTACCTGCAAGGCACTCCGATGCTAAAGTGAGTGAGAGTACGAGCAGACAAAAAGTATGAGTATGGGTAAGAGAATGAATACCTGACCCTCTGGGAACAGAGGGTATTTATAGCCCCCAGCGCTGGACCAAGGTCCCTTCATTGAGTCGGGCAGGTTTGGCTCAATGAAGGAACTGCCAGGTTCTACGTGTGTAGTGGGGACCCGCACGTGGTCTCTTTCCTGGGTATTCTGCGAGAAGTACGGATGAACGAGGACGCGGTCTTTTCGGAATCCAGGTGATGGCGTAACGGTCATAGTCTGCCCTACGAGAGGCGCTCGAGCTGAGGTCGAGCTGGACTGCATGAAGTCGAGGATGTCGTACTAGCGGATAGTGTCGGGCACAGCTGTGGCTTCTTGGTCGGCGCGACCCCCTGCAAGGCCGTTTGGATTGGGCCTTCATCCTTGCTTTTGGGCCAGCCCGGCCCAGTCCAGAATAGGAGCCCCCCAAGTCGTGGTTCCTGGAGTAGGAGCCATGACTTGATCTTAGGTCGCCTCCGTCGCGGAGCCATGACCGACGATCACGGGGAGGCTCTTCTGGACGACGAGGGACGCCCGGTGTTAGGGCGTGTGGCCAAATTTCCTTTGCATTGGACCTCGCGTCACTACGAGCACGGCACCGGGCACTTCCATACGCCAGCGGGTGGGATGAGCACCAAAGACGAGGGGGCTTATGGTACCCTTTGCCGATATGTCGATAGTTTCTTCCCCGCCCGGTGGGCCACGAAGGAGGGGAAGGATATTCTTGACGAAGATGGTTATCCGACCTTTGAGGCCCGACCTATCGATACGAAGGCGCTCGTGGAATGCCAGTCCTTCGGGCAGGCCAAGAACCTGCTAGGTCTTTTACTTTTTTCGTTTTGTTTGATTTTCTTCGTTTGTTTACTTGCTCGTCACTAACCCGGGGTCATTTTATGCAGGTCTCATGGCTGGACGAAAGGAGAGGCTCCTGAAGCTGACACGGGATAAGAAAGTCAATAAGAGAGTGGTGCGAGCTCCTCAGGCGACGAGGATGGGCCTGCCAACTAGCCCAGGCGGTGCTTCTGAAGGGTTCCCGGACGCTCAGGATGTCGAGCCCCATACTGTCCTGATACCAAGGAAGAGGAATCGGGTGGAGATCCAACCTGAGGTCGGCGAGGATTCTAGTGCGGTGAGGTCCTTCGGGTTTCCCCCCTGTTTTAAAGAGGAGGGTTTCTTCGAGGGATTTCCCTTGTCCGTAAGTGCTGATGAAGCGGATACCATTAGGTGGCTGAGCAAGGAGAATTGGAGAAAGCATCTGGCTGCAAACATGGTCGGGATGGTCAAAATGGCCGAGATGGCCGTCGTGCTGGCCGAGGAGGGGGCAGAATCTGATCACATCAAGGAGATGGAACAGGAGAAAGCTGCCCTTACTGCAAGCTCCCGAAAGTTGAAGGCTGCCCTGGAGCGCTCTGAGGAGATGTTCCGCGAGCAAGCCGAACTGCTGGCCACGGAGAAAGAGAACTCGGGGAAGATTGCCGAGGAGAGGGAGTACTTCCGTGAGGATCGGGAATGCTTGGAGGCTTACAACGGGCGCCTCGCCAAATAGGTCGAGGAACTAAAGGCCGCCATGCTCCCTGCCGAGGATGAGTCGGAAGAGACAGCTCCTTTGCGAAGTGGTCGGAACTAGTTGCTCGTATTCAACTCCTCGAGGCGGATTGAATCGGTGCTTTGGCGGATGGCTTTGAAGCCGCGGTTAGCCAGCTCGCCCTGTTGAATCCCGATCTGAATACTGAAGGAGCGGGTTACATGTCTCAGATCATCGACGGCCAGGTCGTGCCCCCGCCCGAGTCCCCTATTGTCGGTGGTGATAGCTTCGGGGAAGTCTAGCTGTGAGGTTCTAGTAGGGCCTGCGCGCCTTTATTGATGTTTGTTTTGGGGCCTGTGTGCCCGTTCATATTTTACTTTTTGGGCCTGCGTGCCCGTTCTTTGTAACTCTTGAACATCGCCGGCCTTCTTGGTCGGTTTTATCTCTATTCGTTTTGTTGCCCACGGGCTTTTCAAATGAATGTTTGTTTTGACTTTTGATTGTTTGCCCGTGTTTATGTTTTAATATTTTTGCGCTAAAACTGGCCTAAGTTATGGCCCTGAGTCTTGCCCGTGTGTGGTTGTGACTTTGTTGGCAAATTTGCCTAAGTCTTTTGTTCAGGTCGTGCCCGTGCTCGGTTTTCTATTTGGTGGCAAAATTCGCCTAAGTAACGACCTCGAGGAGAGATTTCTTTTTCGACCCTTTTGGATGGCCCGACGTTCTTCGAGATTCGTCAGGCGTGCGGAGCGAAGCCGCTTGTTCGGGTACATGACCCGGATCGGGGTTGTTCACCCGCGGCGTGAACTGCCCATCGCGAGCTGGGTGTTCTCTCCTACGGGTACTTCGACGGTGGAGCTCGGTTGAGGTGTCCACGTCGGGCACTATCGTTCATACTCGCCTGTTGAACGACGTTATGCCATTTGGGCGTAGGTCGGGCCTGTACCTTGGCCTTTCTACGGGGTCGAACGTTTTTCCTCGTTGGCCGGACGTGGGTGTCGACGGCGAGGGTCCTCGGTGTTAAGGGTTTTTAACTATAGTACTGCTTTAGTTTAGCAGCGTTCCAGGGTCGTGGTAGCGGTTCTCCGTCTAGTTGCTCGAGGTAATATGCCCCGGTACCAGTGGTGTCGTGGACGCGGTAAGGCCCTTCCCAGTTCGCGGCCAATTTCCCTTCGCGGGCGTCTTTCTGGTTCCTTCGTAACACCAGGCTGCCGATTTCGAACTCGCGTTTAATGACCTTGTCATTGTGGCGCAGAGCCACTCGTTGTTTTAGGGTGGCTTCGCGTAGGGCCGCCCCCGATCGGATTTCCTCGACTAAG